GTCTGTTGTTGTTGGTGACAATGTTGTGGTTATTGCTATTGGTGTGGTTGTTTCTGGAATGATTGTTGTCGGTATTTGTGTTGTTGCTGTTTGAGCTGATGTGCTACTTGTCTCGACACTAGTTGCTGATTCAACTAGTAGAGTTGAGGTTGGAAATTGTGCTGCAGCTGTAGTTATTGGGAGTGGTGTGTTTGTAATAACTTCTGTGGTTGTTGTTGCTGATAATGTTGTAGTTGTTCCTGCTTGTGTGGTTGTTGTTTCTGGGATGGTTGTTGTTGATGATGGCAGGGTCATTGTTTGAGCTGATGTGCTTGTTGTCGCTACATTGGTTGTTGTCCCAGCTGGTGCTGTTGTAGTTGTAACTACAGGTGTAGTTGTAATTACTGGGACTGGTGAATTTGTAATAATCTCTGTGATTGTTGCTGATAATGCTGTAGTTGGTGCTGCTTGTGTGGTTGTTCTGTCTGGAATGGTTGTTGTTTGAGCAGATGTGCTTGTTGTCTCTGCAGCAATTGTTGTCCTAGCCAGTACTGTTGTAACTGAAGCTGCAGTTGTAGTTATTTGGGCTGGTGCACTTGAAATAATGTCTGTTGATGTTGGTGGTGACAATGTTGTCGTCATTGTCTTTGGAATGGTTGTTGTTGGTGTTTGTGTTGTTGTTGTTTGAGCTGCTGTGCTACTTGTTTCGACACTGGTTGCTGATTCAGTTAGTACAGTAGAGGTTGACAATTGAGCTATAGTTGTAGTTGTTTGGACTGGTGAAGTTGTAGTAATTTCTGTAGTTGTTGCTGCTTGGGTGGTTGTTGTATCTGGAATGGTTGTTGTTGATGATGGCCGGGTCGTTGTTTGAGCTGATGTTCTTGTCTCTGCAGTGGTTGTTGTCTCAGCAAGTACTGTTGTAGTTGCAACTAAAAATGCCGTTGTAGTTATTTGGGCTGATGCACTTGAATTAACGTTTGTTGTTGTTGGTGGTGACAACATTGTTGTTATTGCTATTGGTGTGGTTGTTGTTTCTGGAATTGTTGCTGTTGCTTCTGATGGGGTTGTTGTTAAAGCTGAAGTCCTGGTTGTGTCTGCAGTGGTTGTTGAAGCAATCAGTACTATTGTAGCTGTAACTGGGGCTTCAGTTGAAGTTATTGGGATTGGTGTATTTGTAATAACTCCTGTAGTTGTTGCTGGCAATGTTGTAGTTTTTGTTGTTGCTTGTGTAGTTGTTGTTTCTGGAATGGTTGTTGTTGCTAATAAAGGGGTGGTTGTTTGAGCTAGTGTAGCTGTTGTTTCTGTTATGGTGGTTGTTTGAACAGGTGTGGTAGTTGTTATTGCAGAGGTTGTAGTTGCATCTGGTGCTGTTGTAATTGTTGCTGGATTATGTGTGGTCATCCTTGCTTCTGCAGTCGTTGTCAGCACTAATGTTGTAGTAGTTGTTGTAGCTGTTGCAGCCAGTAATTGCACTAAAAACAACATTTCAGATATCCTTGAAAACATTCTTTACTGATTTTTTAAATAGTATCATTGCATTACAATAAGCCTTGTCATTTAATTGACAATAAAGAACATTCGACATTTGTCAAATGCTTTCAGTACTTACCTATTAAAATAACCAGCAATAAATGGATCAGTTTGGAACCCATTCTTTCTGTTAGTCTCTAAATAAAAAGACAAGGGCCACATGTAAGACTTGTGTTAGCCTAGGACTATCTATCAAATAAAATATTTTTTCTCTTTTTGACTAAAAACAAATATAAAACATAGTATCCATACCTTGGGATTGTATTACATTTTCCAGATTTGTTTTTACAACAGTGTCTATTTCAAGAATGATGTTAAAGCTCTACAAAATGCCTTATACAACTGCTGTTGTGGGCTTGCTTTTGCAACAATTATTCTTTCTATGACATCTATTTCGACAATAGTTATAACAAAACACTTGCTTTCTTGTTTATTTAGAGGTCAGTCCATGGTAATAATTTTGCAATAACTTCACTAACCTAAATGTTGGATTATCATTTGATTTAATATAAAGTAGTAAGGCATAACAAATGGTCAACTTACCCAGAGGATATCGTTAAATAATGAAGGTGAGAAAAGTTTCCTTTCTGGTAGATTAGATTTCTATCATTTTAATATTCATTCACAAATGCAATCCCGTGAAACCTTTCATCCTCTGTGACAGTACAGTTCTATTGGGGTGTGTATATATTTGAATTGTTTGAAGGCCAATGACGTACCCTAATGACAGATGTTTTAGTAATGTTTGGATAGTCCCGGTTTTCATTGTATAATAGCATCCCCCCTTCTATTGTTAATGGAGATAAATGTGGCTGTAACCAGCCTATGCCAAAGAAGTTCGACCGGTTTGACAGAGGAAGAGAAATGCTAAATCTCTCTCACTCTCTCTATCAATCATTAGCTAGAAAGTGTATCAAGACAACAGAGACATTTTATAGGGCTCTACATTTTACACAACATAGCTTCCTCTATTTCAAAATGCTGTCAGTGCCTACACATCAAAATTCAAAGAATCAAAAAATTCTTACAATTCAAAAAATTATACTTTAAAATAAACCCTAGTCATCAAAGTGGGATCAATTTTTCAACTTTCAAGTGGGATCAACTTTTTGTGTTTTCAGACTGGAATTGGTCACGGACCAGACATCTGTCTGACACAGTCAGTTTTGCCAGCCTTGTGTGCAAGAGCAGATCTATTCATCCATCTTTTACTTCATGGGTACACTCTGGACAGTTTGCCAGGTCATCGCAGCGCCAGTTAATTCATAAAGCTGTAATTTATTGTTACTGTTAACAAATGATGACCTAATATCCGTGTTGCTTTGGGGTTTTTTTTCAACAATTTGTGTATCATATTGAGGTGGAACAATGTACGATTGCCCCATAGGAAATGTTAACCATCAAAAATAAACTGATATATAGTTCCAGTATGTTAGATGCACTCTATCCTCTTTTGTCACAAATAAAATTTCCCAGTCCATTCATAGCTAGTTGACATTTTAATTTCATTGCACTGACAGTAATTTAATTATGCATTCTCAAACTTTCTCTAATGTTCACAAGGAGGGAATGTAAAGAAACATGTTTCTCAAGATAGACAAGGGTGTGTACCATGGTATAGTGCCATGAGAAGATCGATGTTATGTAGTTAATACTTTTTAATGAATTTGATGATTTGAGGGACGCTATCTAAATGTTTTATTCTGTGCTGCTATGCCCAGCACATAGGCCAAATTTTACATATAATTGCCATCTTCTTCTCTTAGTTGTTTTATTGTTAATTCATTTGCGTCCCACAAAAATGGATCATTCCGATTACAGGTACTATAAATGTGTCAATACTACCACTGTCAACTCATCAAGATTAGAGATTATGCCTTTTGAAAGATTATAATTTTCTTTC